GGCTCCCGCCCCCAGGAGCGGAGCTGCAGCGCTGCCGCCGGCGCTCGCACGCTTCTCCCCGTGCCGCGGGGTTTTGTCTGGAGGGCACCACCACTCTCCGATACCTGAGTGCGCTTTCAGGAGACCTCTGCGACAACATACCCTTCCCCACCTTGTAAAGACTTCTCCAGCAGCAACGTCTGGTCACTGATAGACCTTTTTCTCACATTAATTTGTCCAGTTCCTCTGTGATGGACATTGGTACTCTGACACCTATAGCAGCCTACAGCAGTGATTTCCTCAACCCACGTAGGCGCTACGTGACAAACATCCTGCCTAAGGTTTATTTTAAAACTGAGGCCAGCTAGTTTCCTTGGGTGCCTCCGGGTTCCAGCTGTGAGAAGTGCTCAATAATTGCTGGCTGGTCACCTTGTCTGCATCGCCCTGGGCTCCTCGATGGCCATCCGCACCCAGGCAGGCAGCACCGGTGAAGGTCTGCAACGCCGTGGTCCGCGGCGCACAGACGGGCGTGCGTGCACCTGCAACACGCACGTGCACGCAAACGCACATACGACACCCTCAGCCCGCCACCTGCACGCTCCTCCTTAGTCTGTGAGGTCTCACCAGTCCCCTTCTCTCCAAAGCGATTACTTCACTAAACTCTGCAATGTTTTCTGTTAAAATAATAATTGCACTATAAAAAGGGGCATTAACTGAGAAGCTGTTATACACAAATACACTGTTGAGCACAGGTTTTCACCCCAGCTACTGAGGAGACAACTGGACCCTTGACTGTGGCACTGCTACAGAGTTTCGCTCTATGGGAAGTGAATTTGAAAGAACCAGTGCCTCCAAGGTGAAGTGCAAAGCAATAATAAAAGCAATCTGTTGGTGCCATGTACTGCTCTGATATGCAGTGCACAGATGAATTCAGAGATTTAAAAGAAAGAAGAAAAGTGAAGCAAATAAAACCAAATGAAAAAAAATAGGCTTGCCTTCTGATGCTTTGAAGCTTTAGGAAGTGCTTTTGTAAAAGCAGTCTCATTGGTCACATTTCCTCAGAAGTCCAACATCAGTCATACTTTTAAATGTGAATAAAACTGCAGAGCTTCAAGGGAAGAGAGGAATAAGACCATGACCTGATTTGTTTTCCACTGTAGGTGGTAAAAAATCCTGGTGGAAAAGGACAGCAGAGAAGTTTACAATTCTTTGGTTGACCTTGGTCTATTCCTGGAAAGGAACAGCCTTTCCCTCCTTCCAAAAGGGTATTTCCTTTTGACAGAAGAATAGTAGATGTCAAGACACATTAAATCATAGCATTGCCATGAGATAAATATAGATGCAGTGGGAGGATACTCATTTTCTTCATCGCTGTTCACTATTTTCTGTTTGTGAGGAGCAGCAAGCAGCTTGAGCAGCAGAAGGCTCCTGCAGAAGCAGGTACGTTGCACATGCGCCTGCTATTGGCAGCGACTGGATTGCTGCTTTAGCCAAATTGCTGTATTCCTACAGATTTCTTTTTGCAAATTTGGCATGGTGGGATCAACACATCAAAAAGAAGGGGAAGGGCTATTGCCTACAACAACAGTGGCCGAAAAGTATATATAAGTATATGTGTAAATAGAAATAATAATATCAGAAATCACGTGTCAGAAATACAAAACACAGTGAAGGAAAGCATTGGATTGCCCATCCCTTGACGTCTCTGGACATTCTCAGATCAGGTGGGATGACTTTCTAGAACATCTGCTTTAGCCAAACATAAATTACAAGCAGAGCAGCAGGAAGAAGCTCGCTGGCTTGTGTTACAAAGAATTGGCTCAGTAAAGTCCTTGTCTCTATTTAAATATTGCAGAGCTCCGATTCCAGCCATGTGCAAATGGCGCAGACTCAGCAAAGCAGGCCCTCTTTTAGTCATCCTGCACTTCGGTACCTTTCTGACTGAACCTGCTGAGCGTGGACACGAGCAGTGTGTATATTGCGAGACAGACACCACGAGTTTAATATTTTTTAAGTTTAGCATTTTGTTGGATTTTATTGTTGTATCTGGTTTATCTTGTCTAGAGACTGAATTTTCAACCTTTCTGTACACTGAGCAGCATTTATTTTGCAGGGACCTCAGAATCTGCAGATGGAGAGAACTACGGTATATATTAATATAACTTTTCAGGAGAATGAGACAGAGAGTGTCATTACCTCAGACTGCTATTTTATGTAGTATAAGAAGTTTCCACTGTTAGGTACCAGGTGGAGTGCCAGCCTTGGCATGAGGTTAACTACAGGGGTAACAAAATTAGAAAATGTCAGACACTGCAGGCAATAGGAAGGGAAAAGTGGTTGGGGAACCCTGACCTGGGGCTTCATTAATAAAGTGGAAGAACTATGGGGCGCTAAAGAAAGTGAAAGAGGGGGTGTTGGCTCATTAACATCTCTGAAAAAAGCTGAAACTACCAAATAAGGGTGTAAAATTAGAAAAAAGTATGGTCACGGGTGAAGGCGTAAAATGGGGGTGGGAGCGGTAGGATGGCATGCAGGTCAGCAGCTCTCCTTCACATCACCAAGCGCACCCTCCCAAAGCTGAGCTGTGGGATAGCCCCGAGGAGTCACAGTTCCTGGCGCCTGTGTTAACCGAGCGCAAAGGGTGAAAATCATTCTCAGAGCTGAAGGGATATTACAAGAACTTTTCTGCTGTTCACAGACATCTGGTTATTAATGGATTTTCCTGTTTCCCTACTGAAATAAGTATTTTGGTGTCACAGTATCCACACTCTCAACAATACTGCCTTCTCCATTATTGCCCAAGTCCTTGCTGATAGATATTAATCATATCTCTACTATAACTCAGTCTGAACCTGTGGTGTACTGAAATACTACCAGTTTTAGAAACTGCCATTAGCAAGCATTATGCCATATAAACAGATATTCTTGGCAAGATTCAATTTATTTTCCTAGCAAACTGGGAAGCTTTAAGGTAGCTATATATCATTATATGTTTACTTCAGGGAAATTAGTACTAATGAATTTGGGGGGAAATAGCAGGCAATCTCAAATCACTGTAAATACTTCTCATATCCTCCACTTAATCAACAGCTAAATCCCACAGCTTTTATCAATGGCATATAAACAGTCAACTTGTTCCTCAGCAGACTATTCATGCTATGCTTAGTGGCGTTCTTCCTTTTTAGTTTTACTCTACAACAGACTGCAGGCAGAAAATTCTGAAAGGCAGGATTGACTGTGACTGTCAAAAAAAGAAAAAGAAAGAAAGAAAAAAAGTTTGATCATCTCTAAGCCAAGGTGAAAGGGTTATCAAAGCAGGAGAGTAGGAGAGGTGGATTAGTCAGTGAAAGCAGAATTTAGATTTGAACCTTCTTTTCTCCAGCTAGTATAATGGAAGTGATAGTGCTGCACACTGCAATACTCATGCCAACCTCTGTAGTGTATAACCCAGCAAGTTTCTTCTCGTGGTCTTGGGGTGCGAGTCCATCTGTGGGTGTGTGAGGAGGGCACATATCCACACACACTCCTGCACACAGATTGGCTGCTAGAACAGCACAGGAGGCACACTGCTTTCACGTAGAGGAGGTTGCATGCGATCCATCCCAAGAGCTATTTTTATGCAAAACAGAACCAAAATGACACAGAAATCTAGAACTAGAAAACTGTCCAAAGAGATCTATGTGCCATGTAACCGCACGTGCTCTGCAAAGTGGCCTGCATCAGCTCCCTCGGAGCAAATGGTGGGTAACCATAGCAATGGCAAATATGGAAGAAAATGGCTTAAAAGCTCCCATCGCTGTGTTCTATACTGTATTTGTCATTAATGAATTTAGCAACTCTGATGCCTGTTACCGCTTTTGTTTAGGTGTCTCTCAAATCCCCATGGTCATCTCTGTTTTTTTCTCAATAAGCAGCTTTGTTACGTTTTCAAAATATGCTGCTTCCTCTTTTCTTCCCCATGTCCTCCTAGTCCTCCACATTGCATGCATAGCACTCACTTCATTAACAGATATCAAATACCTGGAGACCTGGTCAATAGCCTCAAGCTACTTTCTGCCAAGGAAAAAAAAAACCATTTAATCCTACCCTGAAACCATTTGACTCATAGCCAGAATACACTTTTCACCCAAAACAATTTTCCTTAGCAGTTTTGTGGAGGACCCAGACAAAGACTTTATGTGAATATGGTCAACCAGTGGCATGTTCCATTTTCTACTACTTCACTGAAATATTCCAAAATTTTTCAATAGACTGATTGAAAGTCATTTACTTTGCAGGAGTCTTTTGTGAGCTTCCACTTTTCTATAAGTAATATCAGTTGTTTATTAATTCTATTGCTAGCTCTCATTTAGGCCAATTTGGAGTGCACCAAAGTAAAACTTTACCGCACCATAATTGTCTGCGTTCCCAAGACTCCTTTCCCGTGCCACTGTCGGTGACTCCCCGGCACATGCTAACCTGTAGCACATCATTCGTCAAAAATGTTTCATTACGGTTCCTACTGGGTTTAGTTTCAAGTAACAGTGGGGCCAGAGAGTCAAAAGTGTTTCCAGTATAATCTGGACGGACTAAACAAGAAACTGTGAGTCTGAGAGAAAGAGTCTCTTAATCCCACAGCAATTAATTGTCATAAAGTATTGTTCTGAACTGTTATTACATATTCAGGGAGAAGGAGAAAGTAAATGAACAAAAATCCTAAGTACTTGACATGCAAAATATTAAGTGAAACTTTATTTTAGAGACATATTTTAGTACCTTACGTTTTAGTGGTAGAAATGCTTTAAACGGTGCAGGAGTGCACCTAGGAATGGAAAAAATGCCCTCCTGTCAGATCGTGTCCCCGTATGGCTATGGCACATGAAGCCCGTGATTTCCCAGTGCCATCAGCAAGGAACCGACATTTCCTCAGTCCCAGCACCAGCTCCAAGTCCAGGACGTGAGACATGGGGTGCAGGCTATTTTCTCCCTAGGTGCATTACATTCCTTTTAGCTGGACTTCTCTGGCATTGGCACATCCAACCACCTAAATAGAAAATAAAACAAAATCCATTTTACAGTCTTTTAGGACTTTTAATTGACCTTTACCAGGGGAAAGGGAGAAAAAGCTGCTTGTCATGGGCTCAAGCACTTGCAGTTGCTGTGGTTACTGAAATGTGATCTTCATTAATTCCAAGGAACAGTCACAAATCTTGCTCTGAAAATGGTACACACTAGATAAATTAAGTGCACCCTATTTCTGGTTTTGAGAAAGAAAATAAAGAACTAGTGCTTGTTCACACCTCCATGCCACTAGTGCTTTTCTAGACCTCCTATTTATCCACTTTCAGTGCGGTCTTCTCCAGGCTAGAGCCTAGAGGGCTGTCCCAAGCCTTGGCCATGATATCCCGCTTTTCTGTACCTTCCCACACTGAAGGAAGATGTGACCACACTGGATTCACAGGGTGCCAAAATGATCTATCTTCTTTTTAACTGCCATGCTAATGTTGTAGCTCTTTCTTTTAACTTCAAGACCTTGCTCCTGATTCCCCTACCATATGCGTAAATATAGGATGTTTTCCACTGCAAATGCCTGGATACATTTTTCTAACGGACTTGAATAAAATTTGCAGTTTCAATGCCTATTGACTCCTTATTTGAAAGTCCTTCCGCTTTTCTTCACTGTTCATCTTCATCTTTACATGCTCTAGCCCTAATCATCAGATTCCATAATTGCATTATTCATTCTTTTTCTATTTTTTTTTGTGTGAATATATTGAATTCTTCATGGCTTAGCACAGATCTCTGTAGGATCTCATGGGAGACTTTTTTACACTTGAAAAATTTGCTGCTTCCTCCACCCTGTCCTGTCTTAAGGTAGTTTTTTTTTTATTTATATGAAGGCCTTTCTTCTCATGCTGTGATTACTTAATTTCTTTAAGAGCGTCTTGTGATGCCTTAGTGATGACTTTGTCAAAATCCAGGCATGTGATATCAGCTCATTCCCCATTTGCCCACAAACTGGTTGACTCTTTTAGAGACTTCCAGTGCCCAGGGCTTACCTTTATAAAAGTAGTTTTTATTCATACCTTTTCGAAATCTGGAATTGCATCAACCAGTTGCCAAACCTCTGGTACTTTGATAGTTCTAAAACAGTTTAAATCAGTTGTCAGATTTAGTTTGGACACAATCTGAGTTCTCAGCATGACCACTGAAGTATGACTGCAATGATGTATGTATTTATAACAGTTCTTTTGTGAAAATAGAAAACTTTTTTCTTTCTCCTATCAAACTTTGAGTTATGTTTATTCTCCAGCTATTGATGTTTTACTACAGCACTGATTTGCAATTTTGTTGAACTGATTACCTTCAAAAGCTAACATTTATGTGAGTTCCCTGCATCAAAATCCATATTTTTATAAATATAATAAAATAAAGCACGCTGAAAGATCATCTTAACTTTATTTACTGTAGCCATTCTGCAATATTTAGACGTAGTAAAATTGTTAGGGTATTTTAATTGCTTTATCATTAGTCAACCGAAGCACCAGATACCCTTTCCAAAGTCCATGTGCCTAGATGAAATTGCCGAGTATGACTTGAATTCATTTTTTAGTATTGAATCTGCTACAGGATAGTTTTAACTGCCAATAGCTTCCTTTTTTGTTTTTCATTTTCAAAGTAACAACTGACATCTTTAACAAATCAATGTTTGTGACTATTTATGGGTTTGTTTGGGTCTTTTTATACTCCTTTTGGATGAGAAGCCGTATTTTCCTTTCTTGATTTTGCTAATATATTTTACAGTTGAACACTGCCGTTGTGGTACTGTTACTGCCTGAATACTGCTAAAAGCAGGCAGGAAGGGATCCAGCTCTCAGCTGCAGAATGCAAATCTTATTTCCCCACTTGAAATCTGCAAATGCAAGTAGTGCTGCATCAACATGCATGCGCCAACATAAAAGAGGTTAATAAATGACACCCACGTCCTAAGAAACCATGTCAGCACCGGAGCTGATGCTTCAGGAAGAAATCCAGAGACTGCAAATGGCCCAGGAAAGAGCTAGAAAGCTGCTGTAAGTCCACTTAAAACCTACTGGAAAAGCTCAGTGTAATTTATTGCAGAAGGACTTGCAGGGTTAGGGCACATAGGACCCAGGCTGGGAAAAGAAGTGGACATTAACAGCGTCCTCCGCCTGGCAGTGGGTCATGATTGGTGGGAGCAGGCAGCACTGCTGCTGTGCTGGGGACACAGTGAGCTCACTGTCATGGGAAACCTGGCAGTCATGAGAATCTAGCTGCCTAAAGAGTCCTACACTGCTGGGCTCGGTGTGATGAGTGATATTTTACAACTCACATCTCTCCTATGAGGAAAGGCTGAAGGAGCTGGGCCTGTTCAGCCTGGAGAAGAGAAGACTGAGGTGGGGGGGGGGGGGGGGACCTGATCAATGTGTACAAGTATCTGAAGGGAGAGTGTTGAGAGGATGGGGCCACACTTTTCTCCGTGGTGCCCAGCGATAGGACAAGAGGCAACGGGCAGAAACGGAACCACAGGAAGGTCCATCTGAACCTGAGGAAAAACTTCTTTCCTGTGAGGGTGACAGAGCACTGGACCAGGTTGCCCAGAGAGGTGGTGGAGTCTCCTTCCCTGGAGATATTCAAAACCCGTCTGGATGTGATCCTGGGCAACGTGCTCTAGAGGACCCTGCTTGAGCAGGGAGGTTGGACTAGATGATCTCCAGAGGTCCCTTCCAACCTCAACCATTCTGTGATTCTGTGATTCTGTGACATGCACAAGTCCCCTTCCTTTCCAAGAAAACATGAATAATTCCAGATAAAATCATGAATAATGGCTAAAACCTGTGTAACAGTCCAAATGTCAAACTTTCATTACAGCACAAATAAGTGACACCTTAACGAAGGAGGTAACAAGGATATAAGGTATTTTAACTGACAATGAGTAGCAGCTGCTCTTCATTAAAAAAATCTAAATAAATAAGGAATAGCATTTCAATTGACCTAGTAATATTATGATGTATTTAGTGGTAGAAGAATATAAGATTTACAGTAGGTTTGAAGACATTTTTCCTTCTATTTTTTCTCATTGCCCTGTAAAAAAGCTATCTTCCAACTCTTGCATCTCTGAGACTAAAAGGTTTGCAGGTGCAGGGTAGGATGCTTGGAAAAAGATTCAGGGTTAAAAATGGCAGTGAAATCCTCGTATCCTAACTCGTTCCCCTTCATTTTACTTCGTTAGAGCACGTGGTCCCCAATGACAGCATCGTTAACTTAAGTTAGCTTAAGTGTCCTGAGGAGGGAGAATATGGGGATTGCTGAGTATTTCTTTGGCTCCTTCCCCTCTCTACCCTTTTCTATACTCATTATTGGAAGAAAGCTCCCTTTTTTCTTAATCTTTGCACTTTCTTTCCAAAATGTTTACTGCTGAGCAAACTATGTAATTAGCAGAGCCATCCTGCCATTCTGCTGTGACTGTGTGTGTGTGTGTGTGTGTGCGTGTGTGTGCGCGCGCGTGCATGTGCGTGCACACACGTGTCAGCCATAAGAATTACTTTAATCAGTTTCAATGTGTTTAGGTTTACTGTCGTATTTTTAGATAGTTTCTCATTGCTATTCTATATGATCCTGTATTGCATGCCACACCTTTTAACAACATATGGTATTAATAAGAAAGCTGTCAGAAATAGAAATAATTTTCTTGATGATAAAAAATCTCACTGGTGTTTTCCCAGATACTCCACTAATATATCCACAGATGTAAGAGCATCAGTTAAAACTAATAAAAAGTTTTACTGGAGAAAATTACAGTCCCTTTCAGCTCAGCCCAAAATGCTATTAATTTAACCAAATGAATGGATTCTATGTTTGATCTGACACACTTTATTAATATTTTGTCCCTGGACCACAGAATGGTGAAGAGACCAAGATACATGTGATAAGTCAAAACAAAATAAGTAGATTTCACCAGCAAGGTCCTTCAGACTTCAGACATTATACAGGTTTTGCTGCAAAACGCAATGTGGATTTTGAAAAAGTCTTACGGGACACAAGAGTGAGTGACATTTCTCAAGTCCAACACCATTCAGTGGTTAGGATTTTTGGTCCCACTCATCTAATGGAAGGCTCTTTTGAATTTCAATCTGCAATGGGTAAAAATCTTGGATTTTCTACTATAACTGCATTCATAGTGAGGCTTGACCGAATGTGGCCCAGAGCTTGCAGATCATTGCTTATGTGGATTCAGCAGTTACGACTGGCCTCCGTCTAACTCTGGCTGTCTTAAACAGCTCTCCCAAAAACATGTGGCTGTGGTTTGGTGATGGAGAATTTGTTACCTTGCTGGGAATTTTATTGAAAGGTTCAGTCACCCTCACTGATTAAAAACAAACATTCTTCTAATATGAATTGTCTGAGTCAGCTTCCAGCCATTAGTTTTACATCATTCACCCTTCGATTAAAATCCGTTCAGTAATCGGTGTTTCCTAGTGGCTGAAAGCCATGCATGCCTCTCAATTTCCTTATCCGATAACGTGATAAATTTAGCACTAGAAATGTCTCTTCCGTGTTGCATCTGCATGCTGGCCAGGTGCTACACGGCTGTCCCGGGCGGCTGGCAGCAGCTAACCTAGGCCTATTGTGACCTTTTCAGACCCATTTCCCCAATGCCAGTGTAGCCTATATTTCTTCTTCCTGCATATACCATACTTTATTTACAGACTTTTGGTGTGAATGAACCCAATTAACATTTGCTATAGTTCACGCTGTAGGACAGCCTGTCTCTTCAATATCTAGTGCCTCCATGCAGTGCTGTTTGTGTGCCTGCACTGATTTATCACCAATGATTTCATATCAAGCACAGACAACCCATGAAAATGTTACACAGCATTACAGCTGATATGGATCTCTGATTAACCTAGATCTCAATAATCAATGATTACCTATTCACTATTAATTTCTAAGATCTTCCAGTTGGACAGCTCTTAAACCCAACAAGTGTGTGCTTTAATGAGGAATGTCACTCATTTATTC